AACGCTACTGAAAACATAACCTTCTTGGCGAAGGTAACAAGGGTTCCACGACCTCACACCTTCGCCAAATGAAGTTAACCCATCTGGTGGACTAAATCACACATTTTACTTACTGAGTTTGGAAATAATATCCTCATTTGCATGGGTCATGTCAGTTGATCATATTCTTCAACTAATAACAGTCTTAACAAAGAAACCTATGTAATTAAATCATAGCATTTACCCATACTGAGACAGAATTGATTTGTAAAAGAACATGAATTTTATTCAAGTGCCACTTCAATTTATTTTATCCAAATTCCATTCTACATCATGTTTGTCATGCATTATGTATACTGTCTTATATGATGTTGGAACATCCAGTTGTCATAGTTACAATTCCAAAATCAAGTACATTTAAGTCCAAGTATAGAAAAGATCTGATGAAGAGACTATGTGCAATTAATCTGTATTTACATGTGCAAACCAACTAAACACAGCTGCCGCCAAACAAGGCTCCAATTTCCAATTCCCATGACCAATTTCCACAATAGCATACAATATACATATAATGATATAAGGCATGACTGAATGAGTTGTCAAAGGATAAAGGACACTTTATATCCATAAACATGTGGACTATTTTTGCTGCGGAAAAATAAACTTCTATTTATTAAACAAACAATGACTTCATTAAATAAATTCATCGCTAAGACATACCCCAATGCCAAAGTAATTAAGTCAAGAAAACAAATCAAATTCAACTGGAAAAGAAACCTTTGCAAAGAAAACGGATAATGTTTATCCTCACATGGTGTGGCTAACGTGGTTTTGGCCCAGCCTAACAAACTGCTGCCCTGTTTACTCTTACTTAAAGACATTCAAACATATAAAATATGGTGACCAGCCCCTCATGCTTGCTACGTTATGTAACCCAACACCACAGGGTGTCTGCCACAGAACCGGTTACCATGGTGACAGACATTCACATCGCTATTACCAAAAAAGGAGAAACATGTTTTCCTTCTACGAAGAGAAATGTAATTAATCAAACAATCAATAAAGGCCATCTTCATCATAATCTTCTTTACAGAAGTAATAATGGGGTCAAGACATTTGGTCTACAATATACATATCCTACAGCCCAGCCCACCTCCGTCGAAACGAATATGAAAACATTTACTAATAGACACTCCCTTATTGGTCGAACCACAGAATGCCGTTCTATCATTGGCTGAACTGCTAAATTGTGATGGGCAGCCGTCAGGATCGGTCTATTCCCTGGGTCTATTCAGTGTTTTGCAGACTCAGGTAGATGGCAGACTTGAGTTCTTGGTAGTGACTACTGGGCTGGGGCGGCTGGACGGTTAGTGGTTGGATGGTTTCCATGGGAACTTCCGACTCGTCATTTCCGCTTCCGGGTCGTTGTGACGCCATCCTTGGGTGAGGCACGTTTGTCGCCTGTCTGTCGCCTACGTCTGTAAAAGAAGTGGAAAAAATCGTTTATTGCTTTTCTTCCGTTCCAAACAAACAAACAAACAAACAAACAAACAAACAAACAAACAGGGTCAATGACCTGAACCAGACGGCTGTCACTAACGTTAAGATAACTGGTGCTGTAGAAGTCATCCTGTGGTGTTGGATTACATTCATGATGATATATGTAACAGAACGTTGGAGAGAGATGAGTGTGTTTGAGCAAGAATAAACAGAGTTTGTTATACCATGTGAAGGTAAATATTATATATTTGGCACTAGTTAATAAGTAGACATTCATTAAAGTAATTAACCACTTGACCCTACTATTATGGAGGAGGACTCAACTCATTTTGCTAACATTTGTATTTGTTGAATAGAATCTTTGCCGTCTCAACATAAAATAATTCTTCGAGGAAATCATGTCAATACAACTAGAAGTGAACTTTGAGTGGAAGGACATGAAAACATAATTCGTTCCTCTTTCTTTGTATGCAATTTTTTTATTGAAATATTCAATTAATACCTCCTCAAATGGACAATGGAACACGCGTTTGGTTCAAATGACCGAGGGTGATCCCAAATGGACGTACAATTTTGCATGTTATACGATTAGGCCATGTTGATTTGATTATATGGATGACATCCGCGCGCGCATGAATTTTCGGCCGTTTCAAAAAAAAAAAGTTTTCAACCATACTGTAAATCGTACAAAACAGTTGCAAAATGAGCAAAAATATACCGTAAGTTACAAAAAAACCATACCAATGTCGTAGAATGCCAAAATCAAACGAAAAAAGACGAAATTGTAAAGAAATAAATGAACTTGAAGACTAGATTATTCGCCAAACCATATTCCGTCCCATTTGTTCAACCCTCATGACCACGTAGATTTCACAATGAAAACAACTTTTTTTTTTGCAAAACTTTTTTTTATTCGCACGCGCGCATCAATTTTGGGGTTCCCGGAGGATGTCATCCATATAATCAAATCAACATGGCCTTAGTTAAAATAAAACTAAAATAGTTATATGCTAAGTGATAATAACGTTAATGACCTGCGCCTGTTGTATATGGTGTATATGGTGTGATATTAAAGGCCTTGTTAGTTGCTATGAACCACCACGAGCTCACTCGGTGATTTATTCGGTTGTTATGGCAACCTACACAAGGCGCTTTCACACTTTAAACACCTCGGGGCGGGTCATTAACTCTTAAATAATTCATGATAGAAGTGGTAATGTTTTGGAAGCAGTGGGTACACGATACCTATTTTCCCGTCATTCTTTGCCGCCGTGAAACGTAGAAACAAGTACACCGCAGCGCCCCCTACCAGTAACCCGCCGGTAAAACAGCCAACTGCAGCCCCCGCTACAGCTCCGGGTCCTGAACAATTCGCGATCGGTGCTTCTGGAAATAAAAGTCGATTTCTTAAAAGATATAAATCAGATTAGGCCATGCTGATTTGATTATATGAATGACATCCTCTGGAAACTGATTGGGCGTGCGAATAAAAAATAGTTAGGGAAAAAATTTATGAAATCTACCTGGTCATGACCATGAATGACACAGACTGAGTATGGCAAATAATATAGTCCATCATTTCTTTACATTTTTCGTTTGATTCCACATTTATTTCGTTTTCCAATATTTTTTGTCACTAAACGCTATATATTTTCTCCATAACTTTTTGTACGATTTACAGTATGGTTGAAAACGTTTTTTCTTGAAAACGGCCGAAAATTTATGCACGCGCGGATGTCATCCATATAATCAAATCAACATGGCCTTGAGATTAAAAACAAGCTTTACAATCAGTTGTAGCTGACTCTCTCCAATAGCAGTTTTGATTAATATTCTTCATCCTATTTATCTATCCATCTATCTATCTACCTATCTATTCATATTCCTACTCATGACATGTCATGACATGACATGAAATGTTTTAAATTCAACTCATTGATCATGACTTTTGAAAAGTCATGATCAATGAGTTGAATTTAAAACATTTTTTTTCTTTCAAAAGTCTCTGTTATACATCATTTCTGATAATTTTTTCCTCCATCAGACCATATCTAGTCACTATGGTCGGCTTCTGCAATAAAGAGTAACGTAATCGAAAGAACCTGATTAAAACAGATATGCAGTACAAATAAAAAAAAAGATGAAAGAAAAAATACAATCAACTAAAAGAAAACTACAGCAGACTAGAAATAAGTTGTGAAAGCGACCCCAGGGTGCAGTTAGAAAATAAGTTAAATGAGAAAAATTTCCCCTGCCTTCACCTGGTGATTTGGATGCGGTGTCAGGGGCTGAGGAGACAACTGTGGACAATCGAAAAAAAAAACACGTAGTTACAATTGCAAAACTATAGTCAAAACCATAAAGAAGATGATGGGAATCGCTAAAATATTCTGAAGGAAATTTATAAACCAACAGTCAACGAAAACAATCTAAACAAATTAAGAAATACAATACTCGGTTACGCATACCCATTTGTCCCTTTGTAGTGGCCAGTGTACTTGTAGTTTGATCTAGAAATGTAACGTATATGGCTCCATTATTTTTTAGTGTGTGACTATCTAAAAGGCTTGAGCAATGATATAAATAATTACTTATATAAATATATATATATATATATATAATAATACTAGATATCCTCGAGCTCGTACTTTCGCCAAATGATTTTCATCTGTATGGCTGACAAATTATAGATTTTTCCCCCTGATTGTGCAAATAAAATACTCATTTTGACGAATTATATCAGTTTATCATATTTTCTACCAGCCGGCAGTATTATATGAACAAACAATGCCATTCTATCATTTCCTTATAACTTATACGAATGAGGTCCTTATTTGAAAACATTATGTTCACTCAACTTTCAAATACCATAAGTATGAAATTCCAGGCAGTCATCATTACATAATTAGTATAACATTTTCTCATTAATTATGCAAATTAAGTCTTCATTTACATAATCAATATCTGCCTGTGTTTATCTCATTTTCAATTACCAATGTCACAAGCTTCAAAAGTCACAAGCAGCTGATTTATAGAATTCCCCCAAAATTATGCAAATCAATCTATATTTAGCCAGCATAACTAATACTATTAGTGCATGGCCTACCGACTACGACATTTCAATACGGCTAAGGGGGGGGGGCTGAGAAAACTATCTAACAGGCGTAGGTGTACAATAACCTGCTAGCACTTTTTCACTCGTAAAGATGAAAGAATATTTAAAAACCAGCCAACATTTTTTAATGTTATTCTTAATTCTATCTTGCAAATATACATGCACGTGCAGTGCAATACCTGCATACCGTATCTCAGACTATAAGTAGATCACGAAAGGTATTGCTGTAGTGATGTAGTTATGAAGCCAAAGCACACAAGGGAACACACAATTCAGCAATTGGTTATAAGATAGCATTTGAAGCAGGCTTACGGTTGGGCATTTTCGGCTTATCTTGTGCAGTTTTCTGATTGCATGTCCATTCGTATTGGTATTTAGTTTGCCCAATCCGCTAGCCTGCTAAGGAGGCCCTTAAAAGCTGTAGCGAAAAAAATGCCATATTTGCTGTACCTTTAATGGAGATGTCCACATACGCAGAGGCGACCTCATAGCCGTTGTTTGCTATGCACATGTACCTGCCAAAGGAGGGAAGTATCATTGGGTTACTTGGCAACTGTTGCTAGGCGACGGATGACCTTTATAGAAACTATGACCGGTCGCCATCTTGGTTACAATTGCTTCACCAATATGGCGGCAACGGATCACAATGTTCATGTATAAACATCTAACGAAACGCTAGTTTGTTTAAAAAGCAGGGCAAAAGACAGGGTAAAAGACAAGACTTACCTTCCTATATCGGCTGTGGTCATGCTGGCAATTTCCAACACCGCCCCGTGTAACACGTTACCAAGAGGACTAGTCCATGTGAAGTTGGAGGGGGGATGGCTGTTCGCACGGCAGGTAACCATCATCTTCCCCCCAACCTCCGCCTCGTAAGGTCCTCCACTCACGGAGATCGAAGGGGGTACTGAGAGGGGAAAACATGAAGCAAGTATGAAGCAAGAAGTCGGAGATTTTCAACCTCCAGAAAATATTACGCGTTGTAAAATTATGACTGTCTGGCGTACTTTTAACGCGCTTACAACAGATACTAGTAGTAAAAGATTGTTGTAAAAGATTGTTGTGACACCCCCTAAGTTGGTATATCTCCGGTAACTGTGTGGGTGGACTCACTTCAAAAAGACCATTTGGACTGCAAACTTGACCTCAATCTGTGGTTACAGAACCAGTGCGCCTATAGCTACCAGTGTATTGCACTCTAGATGCAGTCTTTTTTCAGTAAATTTCCCATCTTGTCCAATGGAATGACATATGATTTTTGTTACTGTAGAAATGACACAAGCGCAATGATTTGTACCAAAAGCAGGACTGGATCGGAGAAGAGGGAAGTCAATGGGAAACCAACCATACACCACCAGCTGGTACCTCATCCCATCGCCACTCTGGCTGCCTGCTCCGAGCTCGCTTACGCTGCAGTAGTACTCCCCTTCGTCAGAGACCCTGAAAAAACATGACTATCAATACGGCCTTCTTCCTTCCAGATTTATTGTTTAGAACTTTTACAACCTCCTAATTTCCGACATGCTACCCTAGTAGTACACTAGAGGGTCGTGTGGCGCAGCGGCAGCGTTCTCGACTCGGAACCAGAGGCCCCGGGTTCGAGTCCTGACATGCCACCGATCTTGTGCCCTTGGGAAAGGCACTTTACACGACTTTCCTCACTTCGCTCAGGTGTAAATGAGTATTGTTCTGTCCCTGTGTTGGTGGCGGCATTAATATAAGTTGAAAAAACTTGAGTGTGCCGTCACCACGTCTTGTTATTGCATGTTTCGGAATATATATATAAAAAAAGTAGTACACAAAGTGCCATAAGATATGATGTGGCATGCATTTTACTAAAATATATATGCTTCTGACTATTATTATTATATTATATACTAGATATAATATTAGGAAGTTTGCATTTTCTACTTACCGAAGGTTCTGGATCTCCAGATTCCTTCTGTTTACCAGACTGACGCCTGCGCGGTCCGCAAGGTCACCGGTGAAGGTCGGAGCTGGGTCGTCAGAAAAGTAATTCATGACCGACTCGTCATTCTTGTGCCTGTAAGAAACGACAGAAGAAAAATAATATTTACACACAGACACAAACGCACATACACATACACATACACACAAACAAACTCTCTTTTTCACACAGACACACGCTCACACACAAACAAAAGCACATAAACGCAAACACACACACACACACAAACACACGCACACATACATGTACACACACTAAAACACGCACACACAAACGTACTGTAAGAAACAAATATGCACACACACTGTTAAGGGGGTTGGGGGTTGGTGTTGCCAATTACAGGTAGGTACTTGTCTGTTCGTGGGGAGACTTGTATCCACAGAAAGAGCTGTATTACCTGCTCATCTCCAAACAGATCTTTCGGTGGCCGCAAAGACAGTACTGTATCAGGCAGTATTTCACTATTCTCCCTTGCCCTGGCGGCACCTAAGTTCGTGTCCCCTTCCTCCACAAATTAAAAATGTTGCTGCTCCAATAAGGAGCTACACATGATTTCCATAAGACTGTTTCCATAAGTTGTTTCCCTACCAGTTTAGCGTGTATCTGGCCACGCTAATCGGGAAGTTACACTCGAACGTGTGGCTTTGTCCCCTCTCGTGGCTGACTCCCTCCGCAGCGACTGAAATATAACACAAAATGAGGGATAATTATGCACTGCTCGGCTTCCAGAATTCTCCCATGTCAACCATTAATCACTGAATCCGACATCCTGTAATCCCCTTATAGAGCCTCTCGATTGGGCACTAGTTTCTTGTGGATTTCAAAAAGATAAAACGTCAAAGATATATCAAAGACGTAAATGGTAAGATGTACAGACAATAGACTTTAAATGAAACTCCATGGGTACATTCAAAATACTAACTTAAGATATTTCTACTTTCTTACTGCTTTTAAAGCGACCAGTACGTATTGCATCCTAGCATAGGGCTACGCCTTCGTCCGATTTTGGCAAAATACATTTCTGTTTTGTTGTTCAATATTTCCCCGCAATCAGACAACTGAAAGAGTTGCCTTTATAAGAGAAAAAGACTTTGTGTAAATTTTTCTTTCATTTTTCCAGACGACACTACCTGTTCCACACCTAATTGTTTAAGGAATGACCTTGGCGATGCGTGTCAAGGACAACATGCAATTTCCAAAAAAAAAGTTGCTAAAAAGACAGTTTACTGTGCATTTTTCATCACCATAATTTTTTCGAAGATAATAAGTTTCTTTTCTTCTTTATGGCGACTAACAATTACCCTTAATAAAAGAAAGCTATAATTTCCTTCGTTTTGTCGTCCGCCATATTTTTTTCAGGGGTATGCCTTCGAGATGACCGTTGCTGACCTCAGATTTGGACCCCACAAATTTTAGACATGACGTCATTCTTTCAAAAAATCACGTTTATCAAATGATACTGAGATCAATTTTTTTTAATCATTTACCTCCCCATAAACACGGCACAGTTTGCAGACAAAAAGAGATGTTGTGGAAAATGTGCGCGGGATTTTAGGTTTGGAAAAAGATACTGTGACAGTTACATTTTGTTAGAGAAACACACTGAGAGCGTGGGAGGGGAATGGGGTAGAAGGGTGTGAGAGACAACTGACAGATATTTGCTATGTCAACACTTGTACGGGAACGTTACACAGACTTTGGTTAAAGTTTTGGATCAGGGAAGTGGGGGGATGTTTGTACAGTTCTTGTATTACAATCTAGTTATGGCCGATTTTCTTGCATTTTCAGTATTCTTCTACAGATCTGTCATGCATTTTTTTCAAGGCATTTTTACCACAATCCATTTCTCTATCATCCTAGTACAATGTTTAGAATGACCAAGAAAATCTGGCTGTGTACAACAAAACTTCGTACTCCTTTACGAAAACAACAGGTTTAGCAGATTGACAAATGGCAAATATATTTGTTTAAAACCCTGCACAGCAATGTTGTAAGATGTTTTGTAAAATCATGTTTATGTAAGGATACTATGTATGGTTAAGGGTTAATTGGGAAATTATGATCAAGGAGCTTTACATAGATCTATTTCAAACTTGTTGATATGATAATGGATTTATTAGGATTTCAATTATGTAATCGGTCACATTGGGATATTGTTATATTTTGTCTTACCCTGACCACTTCCCTCATAACTTCAATAAAAAGTGGCCAACAGACCAATTTTAGTTGTTTTTCAAATGAATACACAAAGGCTCGGCAAACAATCAGACATCAATACATATCCAGGAAGGAAAACATAAACATATTAACATGCAAACCAGGGCCCACTACAAGAGTTTAGTCATGGCAAATCCTTGTTATTTCAGTCACAATAGATTGATAGGATTAGAGGTTAAAATCTGTAGAACCAAGGTTTCAAAAGGCACGTGCCTTTTCAGTTGCTTTTAGTTTTAGATATACATTTGAAAGGTGTGCAAAAATTTAGAAATTGGCTACATCCAACTGTGAAAATAAACTGGACACACACACCTGTCACCCGATGCGGCACAAGACTTGTGCGATCCTGTATAGTGTACTTGACGAATCTACTGAACTCTACTCACATGTAAAGGCTAGTTGACAACTTGTCATTATTCACGTTGTTCCTCTACATGTTTGAATGTCGTCATTTCAGACACATATTCGATTCTAACGCATTTCAATGATTATTAACTGAACTCAATAACTACTCTATATTGTTTTTAGAAAATAAAAAAAGAAAAACACAGGCTGATCACAAAAATCCTGGGCTCTGCCAAGACTCCCAATATAAAATGGTCTACCGATTACGACATCCCAATACGGCTAAGGGTGGCCTGAGAAAACTATCTAACAGGTTGATACGTAGCGTAGGATGGTCCTAAAAATTAACACAACTATTATCACGTATTGCTCATCTTCGACGTTACGTAGGTGTACAATAACCTGCTAGCACTTTTTCACTCGTAAAGATGAAAGAATATTCAAAAACCAGCCAACATCTTGGAATATTATTCTTAATTCTAGCTTGCAAATATACATGCACGTGCAGTGCAATACCTGCATACCGTATCTCAGACTATAAGTAGATCACCGAAGATATTGGGGCTTGAAAAAAAAAGATTTTTTCTTCAAGCTAGAGGCAAATCGACTTTTAGTCTAGGAGATGATATCAATGTCGACATGGCGCTCAAAATAGGATCTGGGGAGGGGGGGCGTTAAAAGTGAAACGGGTTTTACCATTTCTCATGCTCAGTTTCAAAGGTCGAAGTCATGACCAAATTTTGCATTGCTAGTCGTATACTTATATATAAAGTATACTTTGCATACATGCGGAATTTTTATCAGTTTATTTACTTTTTCTAACTGCAAACTGTGCGTGTTGTTGACCTCAAATAACAACCTCAACTCAAGCACCTGTTTCGCACTACTTCCTGTATAAGGCCTGTATCTGTTGAGATACAGGTAGGTAAGACGACAAACTCACCTGTAACAGCAAAGCACAACGCAAGACACACTCGGAGCAACATCTGCACAGCATTTGACAGGAAGAAATGGGGGGAAGGTGGCTGGGGAAGTCTTGACCGAACACTGTGACACTGAGACTGTGTATGCCCCAGACTGACACCCAACACCCCTGACCGACACCCAATACTGTCAATCAACCGCTTAAAGCACACCTGGTGAAACTCTAGTGGGGTTAACACGGTACCTGGATCTTACATATCCCCCATCTATGTAAAACGTACTGCTGGACTTAAATTGAACACGTCAGTTGAATCAAAACGGCAACTAAATACAAAATGTTACTACTAAAATACATAGCCTAACTTTTCAACCTGTCTAAAGTGCTAGTGAAACAGTTAAGCCATGCTTTGTTTGGCTTCACGCCCGCTGGTTTTCTCAGGGTCTGTTGGAAACAATGTTTTTCAGGTCAACATTAGGGTCGCCACGGTTGGTTAGACTGAATGACGGACGGAATGCCTTCTGTGACACGCGATGCGATTGGACAAGACAGTTTCTCTCGGTGTTTCCGTTTCGAATTCCTTTTCGTGAAGGTGCGTGTTTGGTGGGCATGAAAGGGGCACAACAGGTGACTCCATTGTCAAGAACTTGAAATACCAGAGGGAAAACAATACATGTTTCCAAAATATCACTAAATACTAGTTCTAAACCCTAGAGAATTTGACGCCTTTCTACTTAAAATTTTGCACTAAGAACTACACACGTGGGTCATCAGCGTTTTTTCAAATTTTCTGACAAACTTTAATACATATGTAAATATTGACTAAAATATGCCTTTTACTATACACGCAGTGTTACTTTAAGGGTTACAAACATTGCACAATCGTCGTACGATTCAAAAGTGAGGAAGGACACTAGTCCTGCAAGTGTCCTGCATAATTAGCTGTCTTGTTTTGGAAATTAGATCCTTGTTTCCAAAACGTGTGTGTTGTATCGTTCAATCACCTTATCCAACATATTAATGAAAATCTAAAACACCTATCAGAAGTCTGAATTCGAAAGTCGTGGTTAAAACGTGGTCTTTACTGACAAATATTTTAAAAACAATATGACACGGACAACAATGAAAGCATATGAAAATGTATTCGCGTAAGGCGTTTGGACAAAAAAAAAAACATAATCTTTTGGTGTTAGAAAACATCGTATCTAGAAAATCATCCTCAAATTGATCCTTCCATGGCCAGTTCTTTAATTCTGCCGCCTGCTAATCCAAATAAATGTTACCAATGACGTCACGGTCAAGAAATTGTGTATTTCAGTGTCTGTGGTGTCGTGTATGGTCTTTAAGTCGATGTTTTACCACCATATTGCTCTACGTTTTATTAATGCTCATGAAAGCATACGCAAACCTCAGGAAATCCAATGGCATATACCAACATTAAATGTAAGTTTGCATGCGCTACTGCATTATATGTAAACGCGTTCTGTCACTCAAATAGAAAGCGAGGAAAATTCTGCATGCAATATTGTACCGGCGAAAAACAGAGGTGCAGAACTCCGAAAACATATTATTATACATAGAATGTTCCGTTACATTAGAAAGAATCAAATTGTTTTTACTCTATAGAACTACTTAGTTATCATTAGATGTAAGACTATCTATCGTAGTACAATGTGTACGTATTTGACAAGGGCGCACTGACCCTTTTTACGATAAATCCATAACTAAGCAAACTGAACTAGATGTAATACATCTTGACATTTGCATGTTCTCATAACTATTTTTGTGTTCCGTTGGCATTCCTCTAACTAAGTCTAAGACTATAATCATGATAACAATACTACTGTCATTATTACCACCATAAACTAGCCACCATGATAATGTCAGCTCAACTTTGACTTCTATTGCTAAGATAATACAA